GATAACCTGAGCCACTCTAACTAGAAGCTTTATCAAAAAGCAACAGCAGCTTTGAGAAAAAGTTTAATTCAGTTCAGATTATTTCATAAAATCCTAGCTTCCCTTCCGTGCCACACAATTTCCAGTGATGAATCCGCTTATCAGTGTGAGGAAGCTCAACGTCTGTCGTTGTTTCCTGCGTCTGGAAGCCCTGATTTGACTTTCATTTGTCGTATCCACTTCCCAAAAGCCGACTCTGTGAAGATAATTCACCAAAGGCTGCCTTCTTCACCTGACTCTCCGCAAACTTCCTGAATGTTAGGGGCGCCGCCTTGTTGATTTGCTTGTTTACCTCTAGTGAGCAGTAGTACCATTGATCGCCACTAGGAGGCGAGGAACCGTACTAGCATGGTGTGTAAACGGTCTTAAGGAACCAAGCTCAGCACGGTTAACTGATCCAAGCTTGGCACGGATCGGTTTTTAGAGGGTAGTGAAAATGGGGCTAGTGATTCTGCAGCAACCCCTAAAAAAGTTTTGGAGCCCTCTTCATCAACCATTTCCAGCTGACCACTAGTTCCCAGACTGCTCAATGCTCCCTGCAAAGCCCTGTGGCTTTAAAGGCAGCTGTGACCATCGTGCTTTATAGTCCCTATATGCAGGTTTTGGTTGGCAAAGTTTCTGAGCAGTGGTAAGTCTGACGCCATTTTGATGGATCATCCTCTGCAGGTTAAATCCACAGCTGCCTTGACTGTTCCCTGTTTTCTGCTATGATGGATCTAAGATAGTTTGGAGGATCCTTGGTCACGTGTTTCCACTTTGACGTGGCTGTTAAAACGCATCTGCTCCCACCGAGCATGATGACCAAACTCCAGCTGGTCACTGCTGCTGTTCGTTAAATGGTTCTTCTACCTTAAATCCTACAGAACCAGCGAGCGGCTACTTTCTGCCTATAGCTCCTCTTCTCTGCTTCATCTTGGGTTCTGTGAGTGATGGACGAGAAGAACCTGTTGGGTTTCTTTCAGTGGAGGTGAGACTTGAACAGTGAAAGGGTCTGAGGAACACTCTTAGCTTCATGCCACAACCAACAATATCATTTTTATTTTGATAACAGGAATTCAGGTTATAATTGTTGGTAAATCAGATGTGGAGTTTATATTGTAGGTTTCGTGCTATTTATTCATTCTATCTATTAGTTAGGGGGTTTTCTGGGTGTATTTAACTCCTGCTTAGTTGATAAATTGGTTAATAAGATGCACAGTCCAGCTTACATCCACTGAAATGTAGACATCCATGTTTCTAAGAAAGAAAAACTCCAAACCTTTCTCTAGAGCAGCGATCTGAGCTTTCAGCGTCTCCGTCTGGACGTCTAGTTCAGCTTTCTGGTCCTCCATCTGGTGGATCTTCTTCTGGACAGCCAGTCTCATCTTGATTTGTTTGGCAACCTCCTGACGAATCTGAGCCAGCTCCTCCTCTTTTACCTGGTGGAAACGTAAAAGGCGGGAAATGAAAGGACAGCGGAAGCTGCTCATCACTCTGGCTCTTCTGTCTTTCACAGAAAAGAACTAAAATGATGAGAAACAGGCTGGGTACCTTCAGCTCGTTTTCCCTCTGATGGTTCTCCATAGAGAGCTGTTCCTTGGCTGAGGACAGATGGCCACATTCCTGCTGCAGTTTGGTGTTCCTTACCTGAATCTGCTCCAGTTCTTTGGTGCAACGTTCATGTAATACCTGTGACAGAGGAACGGACTTTGGTTGGACAGAGTTACCTTTATAAATATTAAATAAACTCATGCTTAACCTTCTCCCAGTGGAATAAGGGACCAAAAAGCAGAACAGACTTCAGCCCTCAATCTGCTCTTAAATCATCAAAAACAACACAAGTTCTGTCCTCGGGAAACTTTATTTTAATATCTGTTTCCCCCAAGCTCAGATGTGCGGAAGACAGGGTACTTTACTAGTGGGCGACAGTGGCGTTGGATGTAGGAGTTTGCCCTGAAATCGAAGGATTGACGGTTCAATC